CCTCGGCAGTGCATCTCGCCGATGGCAGCAAGGAAGGCTGCTGCGCTATTTGAGCCTCGTTTTTGCACGGCTAAGTAAGACGGAGTGATGGCCATCTCCGTGTAAATTTGCTTTAAGGGACCGGCCAGCGCTGAGTGTGGGCCGACTTCTAGATGTAATATGGTTGACGAAGTTTGGAGAAGTCGTACCACAGCCTGTCGGAAGAGAACTGGTGATTCCAAGTTTCGCTGCCAATACTCGGCGCCAAAGTCGGAGGCTCGTTCGAGTGTTTGGGATGAGACGCTGGAGTAGAAAGGGACTTTTGGCGATTTGGGCCTCAAGTATGTCTTGAGAAGAGATTGATACTCGATGCCAACTGCACGCATGTGATCTAGAAGAAGAGGTAGTTAGTAAAGACTCAAGAAACAGGCTCTCTGTTTGGACTTACGAGAATGGTATGCCTTGTCAACCTTTAGCAAACGAACTAGAACCTCTGGTCGAGCAGACCTGATTGCACTACAAACTGCCTCAAGGGCGTCCGTATCCCCGGACAAAGTCACACTAGAGTTGCTGTTCTCACAAGCGATGACGACTCGAGTCGTCAAGAATGACGTGACTTGCTCTCTTCCAAGTCCAATGGCAGCCATAGAACCTTGAACTTTGGATTCATTGACCATGAACCCTCGGTAGTAGGCGACAATAATCGCTTCCTTCAGGGTGAGGACACCGGCCGCGTACGCAGCTGCAATTTCACCGCTGGAATGACCAACGACAGCCTTGGGGGCGATTCCATATCTAGCAAGGTGCCTGGTCAGGGCAATCTGGATTGCAGTGCAAATGGGCTGGGCGAATTCCGCTTCCCCGAGGCGGGAGGTAGAATCCGATTTCATGAGCTCATCTGGTACACGTCACCGTTGATTAGTCTTCCTCATTGGTGATTTTGTGGAAGGGATGCACTGACTTCTGATATCCCAACTTGGACGGTGCTCTCGCGGAAGACTCTTCAAGACCGCGTCCATTTCCCTGATATCCTGCAGGAAGTCTCTACTACTTTTCATTAGATGCGATCCCATCCGGGCCCATTGAGCGCCTTGGCCGGTGAAAATGAAAGCAATCCCCTCAATTTGTGAGCCTGGGCGGAAACTAGGCACGGGGGAAAGGGTGAAAGCCAATTGGTCGGAGTCATCGGTGACGACCGCAAAAGTGCGATGCGATAGGTGAGAGCGACGATGCATCAACGTGTATGAAAGATCTTCCAACTTTGCAGGCCTGGCTCGGAGGAACTCCTGGTAGTCGTGTGCGGTCCTCTTGAGTGACTCCTCGTGCCCCGCGGAGAATAGTAGCAGAGTCGCTGGCTCTCTCCTCAGAGGTGGTGAAGGAGGTGGCGTCTCGACATTGCCATGGCTTCGAACCGTTGCCGAACTTCCTACTGTTGCAGCAGATTCTAAGATTATCTGGTCATATCAGCTTTCGAGCCCGAAGGCTATTGATGAAGTGACATACATGGACATTGGTGCCGCCGATTCCAAAGCTATTGACACCTATCCTTTCTGCCCTTTCCTCAGGCCAGGGCTGTGGTTCTGTTGGCACCTTTAGGCCTGTTGATGTGAAGGGAACTATTGGTACTGATTAGTCCCCCGCTACTGCCATAGAGGAACGCAACGAACTTACTGCTGACACTAGGAGTATCGAATTTGATGTTGGGCATGATTGTCCTCGTTTCCAAAGACACTACTGCCTTAATTATGCTTGAAATTGCCGAAGCTGCTTCTGAATGACCTAGGTTGGGCTTGATCTAAGGGAATGTTAACAGCTATTCGTGAAAGGAAGCCTTGGCACACACTGATCCAATAAGCATCCCCTTGTCTCCGAATAGAGCGCCAACGGTGCACGCCTCAATGGTATCGCCCACAGCCGTGCCGGTGCCGTGGCATTCGACCATGGCAGTCTGCCACATATGATTTTCTGGTATACCGGCGTGTCGATATGCATCACGAATCAATTGCTGCTGTGCCTGTGCACTGGGTGTTGTCAAGCCAAGGGTCCTCCCGTCAGAGTTCGTTGCTGACCCTCTAATAATAGCACGAATCGGATTCACGTCGCGGATCGCGCAGTCGAGCTTTTTGATGTAGAGGCAATTAATGGCTTCTGCACGGGCATAGCCATTCGCACTGGCGTCGAACGTCATGCACGAAGCATCGGGCGAAAGTACGCTCTGCTCGGCCATGAGCTTGGTGAAGCCTGGCGAGAGTATCAAATTCGCCCCGGCAACGATCGCGGAGTCGCATTCGCCGGCACGTATTGCCTGGCAGGCTAGGTGGACTGCTAGACCGGCAGCTGAGCATGCTGTGCGGACGGTCATGCTGTTGATAAAAATGATCAGTTCACGCGGAAACCTTCAAATCGACACAAGCAGAGAATCACCTTGGGCCTCTAAGATCGAATGCATGAGAAATGCGGTTTGCCTGCACAAAATCCATGTATCCTGTCAAGCGATACATGCCATCGTCTTGAGCATCAATGGCGTGCATTTCTCGCCAGTCATCTCCAAAACTGCCCACGTAACACCCAATCCTCTGCCCTTGCCAATCTGTTTCTGCAGCACTCTCCAGCGCCTCCCAGACGACTTGCAGAAGCAGCCGCTGCTGAGGGTCTAATTTCAGCAACTCTTTGGGGTTCATAGAAAACATTGACGGGTCGAATTTGAATACATCGTCGTGTGAGAGCCAGTATCCTTCCTCTGTCGGTAAAGGTCCTGATTTGCCGCTCGCTGTGAAGTGGTGGTCTTGCGAGTGGTATCGCGGACGATCTGGTTTGGAGCGCGCATCTTTGCGGTTGATGAGGAAATTGTACAGTGAAGTTGGGGTATTGATGCCGCCAGGTAACCGCAGACCAATGCCGCAAATCGCTATGGGATCGGGCTTTGACATTGCTAATGCTTGACTTGGAAAACAGCTTCCTGTGGCAGTGATTGTGAGTGTGATGATCGGTAGTTCAATGGAATAGGTAAAGTACCAGACAGACACCTTGGCTTTCCTTCTTTTGGCGAACCTTCAGCTTCAGGTTCAGCTTCTCTATTCCTGTGACGAAAGCTCACTCTTACCCTTAGCGTGATCTAATTCGAGTGGGAAAATGGAAAAAGACCGACTCGTAGTGTGAGCGGGATTTCCACATGGCTACTGCCCTGGCAAACCCCTCCAAGCCCCTGGATAGAGGTTCGGACCGCCAGAAGCGCCATGTTGTAATTCGGACCGGATCCGACTAGCGGGTACGATCGCTGCGGGCAAGCCTTCTTACCATCATACCCAACCGAAATTTCAGTTGACTTGCTGTAGCATGACAGTTTTGCACATGGATCATCCGACTAGCTAAACTTCACGCTCTTTCAGTATCAAGTGAAGTGATCATTCACCCCGGCCATCATAGAGAGGTGTTCGTAAATTCCATGCCCGTAGAGTAATAATCGATTGTTGACATGGTCTTGTAGCATACCCAGATGAACTGGGAGCCATGGAGAAGCTGAGATTGGTCTTCTGGCAGGCTACGCCAAAATACAACGCTGTACGCACAAGCCAGTCCGACGACGACGACCAGCAAGAAGGCATGGAAGAAAAGCTACGCAGTGAACTGGCGGCGCTGGAGAGCAACGTCTGGTGTCTGCGCGCAAGTCTGCTGATCACCATTGTAGCGCTCCTTCTTGTGACCATTTTTGCAGTGGTAGATCGAGTTTCATATGACAAAGCGTCACTCAATTGTGGAAAGGGACACATAGGTAGCGACCCGAATGGATTCGTGCCCCCTGGTGAGTTGTCTCTTCCCTTAGTACTTTGTCGTCAAGTCGCGCTGGAATAGCTTAGCTTACAAAGAGGCTCTAGGGATCGGTGAGCCCCCGAGGTGGACACTATTCGACAGCACGTCGCCATATTATATCGAGGAGGACACTTTCTATGATTTAAATAAGACTAAAATGATGGCGAAAAGACTGAAGAGCCTTCACAATTGTAAGTCCATGCGTCTATCTTCTCTGCAATCTGAAGCACACTGCTAATACGTTGCCAGCCTCAAATGTCCTCGTGAACGGGAACTTTGCGGATTGGAAGAAGCCGGATGGCACTGTGGCTAAGCTGCCAGCCTATTATTCTACAGTATCATATCGACAAACGTACATCATCCGGTCCTTCCACCAAATGCATTGTCTCGTGAGTTTCGGCATTACTTGTGAGCCTCAACCTTTCTAACGTTGTGGTAGATATCAATTGCAGAGGAGTATGGACATAGGGCAAACAACGTGTCGTCACAGTGGGCTCCTAAGCATATAGCTCACTGTCTCAATGCGATTCGCGAAGCCATCATGTGCCTAGCCGATGCGACGCCGATGACCTACGTGAATGGCTTTGCCGTCGGGCATGTAACGGATGACCAGCAATTCATGTGCAGGGACTGGTCAGCGCTGCGCAAGTGGGCGAACGATCCGGTGAGGGGAATTCGCTATAAGAACATCGCGTCTGAGGGGGCGGGCTACGACAACAACACTGAGATTCTTCCTTTCCCAGAACTTTCCGAGTTGGAGAAGGTCGGTCTGGCATGAGCTGGGGCACATATATACGAACTGAGGCCTTGAGTTAGTGCACCAGGTTCAGCAGAGACAACACTGAGATATGGCGGGCAACGGCGAGAGTGCATGGGAAGGATAGCGGTATTCATACCATTTGAAGGAGAACCGTGACACAGTACCTACTTTAGATGTGGAAGTAGCTAGAATGGATCGCATCACTTTGGAAGACTTCCTTTTAACGTCAAATGTCAATGTCTAAACGCTCCTTTACACGTCTTCTCAATCGCCTTAGCTAAAGTACCTTAGGTGTCCTGATTTAACGTGACATTTGCATCCGCTCAACTTGAACGCTGTTGTAGATGCTGGGCTATCTGAGTGAGGTAAAAGCCCCTTGTATGCGCTGTATAAATCAAATGACGCATCACAGCCTCCGACCAGACCCTGCTCTTTCCACACCTCTCAGAACCTAACCGACCAAGCAGTCCACCTCGTGAGGTTCATTGTATACCCTAGTGATGTTTGGCAAGTCGATTTCCCACGACTGCGGGATTCCGTTGTACAAGATGCAGTGCTCAACATGCTTCGGGTCTCGGCAAAGAGAGTCCAGAACTCGAGGCTTGAAATGCGACGCATACGTTATCCTATCCCAGACATAGCTGCAATGCATGTGATGGATGGTGCCGTCTGTAAAAATTTCGCCGTGCTCACCACTGGCAGCCACATCAAATGGAACCTCGTTGATACGTTCTCGTTCGTACCAATACGTCGTGTTCCTCCATTTCATATAACCCAAGTATTTCTCGTGCATCTCTTCATTGAAGCACTTAGGATGCATCCATGTGGAGAGCATGAAATCGTAGACACAGCCTCGGGCTTTGGACTCTTTCCAGTCCGGGGAGCATTTGCCTAGCGAAACAGGCTCTGCTGGTCGTGCGGGAGTCATGTCGTGAGTTATTCGCCCCAGGTAAAATATCCCAACTGCTAGGGGTATGAAGGCGAGTTTTCCGGCTATTGCCCACATACCGCTGCGCCGTGCTTTTCGTTTCTGCGGGACAGCAGTGCTATAATCCACTGAATCGGTTTCATCGTGGTAGCTGGTTCGTTCTGAGCTTGAACCCTCGCTCTGCGATTGTGGCGGGAGGAAGGCCTGTTTCTCCATATCGAGAGACGAGTTGGTTGAATGTGCGTTGTCGAGCAGCGATCGCTGGATGATACTGAATATCGAGGCCCCAGTACCTGTGAACAGCACTGTTGATAAGTCAAGATGGTTCTTTGGCATGGATGTGGTGGGTAACCTTAGCTGGAACATTGAAGAAGCTCGGATACAACTGCGGATAAGGTTGGAGCCATATTTCGGACCGCAGGGAGAGTGGGCCAACACACCAGTCTGTCTGGCTGTCGATTCATGGGGAGCAAACACTTGGTCTGAAGGCTACAGTCTTCTTTGGAGAGATTATTACTTTCAACTGTGTGAATATTCCCTCGAACTGGCGTAGCAACATCATTGATTCTCAAATCGCCCACCTGCCCATCATTAGTACACCACTTTTGCCACAATGCCCGCCGCCAACCCGGTGTTGATCCAAGACATCCCAAGATCTCGGAATGAGTCGCCGCCGGTATTCTTAATTCACGATGCCAGTGGGCTTCTCACCAGCTACTTCAAGGTTGGAACTCTAGGACGCAAGGTCTATGGGATATGGGACCCCAAGTTCGATGCGGACGGTATTGGCGGATGGCAGAGCGTCAAGGAAATAGCTGAAGCATACATCCGCCTCATCAAAAGAGTCATGCTGAGAGGAGAAATCGTCCTCGGTGGTATGTAGCACTAAGCCCTAAACCAATCGCTTCGGGCGCTGACCAGAATATAGGATGGTCATTCGGGGGCGTTCTAGCAGTGCAAATCGCCCACATGCTAGCGATGTCAGGCCGTGGCTTGCGCGTATCGCGAATCATCCTCATAGACTCAGTCTACCCTCGCTGCCCTCGACCTGAAGCTCAAAAGGAGCCGGCAAAGTTGCATCACGCCCCAGCTCTTCCTGGTATCAACCAAGAAACCCGCGACAAGCTTATGACTGCTCTCATGCGAGCGACTTGTCTCTCTGACCAGTGGGACCCTCCGTCGTGGGCGTTGCCGAGGACCGGTGTTCTTGGTACAGCCCGCTCCCGAGATATCGACCCGACTCCCCCACATGCGGTGCTAATCCGAGCCAAAGACTTGGTGCCTATGGCGGACCCGGCTGAGAAGTGTCCTCTTGATAGAACTCGGTTTCTACCTCAACTTGGTTGGGAGGATATGCTAGAAGGGTTTGTGGAGCAGGTTATTGAGACGACAGGTAATCATTATAGCGTCTTTGATTCAGAACATGTAAGTGGTCACTGAAGCGAGGCTACCGTGCAAAAACATCTACTTACCCGACGAGAAAGATCGATATTATCACCTCTCACATTCGGAAGAGTTTAGACATGAACCTTGGTTGATGGGATGAGGGATTTCTGGATTGGTGTTAAGCACTTTACACGTGGTATTCCTGTTCTTACTGTAGTGGCGCAACGGCTCGCTGAATCGATATTTGCTGCCATCTTATGTTGCGAAGGCTCGCCGTTCTTACTGTAAACTCCAACCTCAAGAATGGTTCAGCACATCTCTCAACAGCTACTATGATCTTCTATCCATCACCCACCCGCCTGGTTTCAAATCACATACTGTGACTCTAGTCTACAATCTCCTCATATTTATCCTTCTCATCCTCTGGTGCAAAATTGACCCATTTCACTGCCCGTGCCGGGTCGTGGGCCCACTCCCTCAGCGCAAAGAAGTCCCTGCAATGACTCTGCTGATCGTCTGTAGTGTGGCCAACACCCATACCATGAACGTAAGAAATTGGCGTCGCGTCCGCTAGACATGTTATGGCTGACCTCACCGTGTTCAAACAGTGGATGACATGGCCCGTTTCCCACTTTGACGTTTTGTTATTAACCCTGTAGCCAATATCCTCAAAAATGATTGACTGGTCTCGTGTCAGAAGTTCAACTCTTTCAACACTTCTGCAGTTCTATACACTTACAATGCAGTGCATCTGGTGAAAAGCGCGTATGCTGTAGAGCTCTGATCCCTTGCGGGTGACATACGCAGGGAGCGGTTGCTGCTTGTTATCGAAATCCATGTACGTGCTGTATTTTCCGTTGATTCTCACGTTTGATGCTGTGCAACGAATCAGCTGGACTGGAACCCATTCAGTAAAGCATCATAGTGTCAACGAACCGTTGTGCAGCATCTTGAAATCCCTCGCAGCAGCTTGCACATTTTCGAGGCTCTCGAAAACGTCGGGCTTGAAATAGTGCGGATCGCTCTCATCATCGTACTTAGCCCACTTGACAGGCTGTCCGATTTCTGTGCCTCCAGTTAGGGCCGCATTTTGGCGTCAAGAAAGGGTTTGGCTCACCTGGCGGGACAAAACCACTGGGGTCAACTCCCAACGGGGTGACTTCTTCTCGAGGCCAGGCGGTACCAATATTGAGCAAAACGATGTATCCGAGAAGAATAATTAGCAGAATACCCTCGGCCCAGGCTACTCGTCGAATCTTGCGGAGACGCTGATCCCATAAGACACGATCACGATTCCACTCGTCTGGGAAGGTCGGGGAGTTACCGCATGGGCCACTGTGATCTAGGTCCATGCCCCCGAGGCTTTCCAACTCATCATCGTCCAGATTTTCGCCCCCTTCAAGGACGTCGTACTTGGCCGCTTTCCTCATATTGCCCGCAAAAGTCACGTTCTTGCCCATCCCTATTGACTAGAGTTGATTGCAGATCAAACGGATTCCATGTGCAACTGAATTGCAACCCAACTGAAGCAGTGAGGTTTACCTCGCTCAACTATCCTAGGGCGGCCTATCGATCGAAACCCGCAGCCACCACAACAGACACCTCTTGTCCTGACGATTAGAGCTAAGTAGCGGACCGAGGTGGCCTGCGTGAAGGTTTAGTAGCACTGTTTCAATCTGTCCGTCTCCACTGCGGACCGAAGCTTGCACGGAGCTACCCCGCCGCCGTCGCGTTCAACTCGGAGCTCTGATTTTCCTAATTGGGATGCAGCCGGATGCAACTGATGCGTTGGGAGATGTCCCGCCAGTGATTGAGCTCAATCAAGGTGAGCAAAGCGAAGAACGCAAGGCATTGAGATCTCTGGCTTGTCTACGGCAAGTTTGACCTGGAAGAGACGACCAAAACGTTCACCGAAGCTTTGCTTGAGATATTTGACTATTATCGAGAATTCAATTGATATGGAAGCCAAGAAAGACGAAGTGACTTGGCGGTCCCTGCCGCGAAAGGACCAGCTCGCCATTTTATGTTTCCTACGGTTTGCCGAGCCGGTAGTGAGCATCTCACTGCTCGTGAGTAGACTCTTTCCACCACGACGTTGTGCAGATGTGGGGGTCGCTGACAAGGTGTCTTAGACATATTTGTTTTATCAATTGCAGTCTTTAGATGCGACGCTAGACTCGGGAGCGATCGTCCGACAAGTCGCTTACTTACAAACAAGTTTTATGCTATCACAATGCTTTTCGTCAATGTTCTTGGGGAAACTGGCCGATTCTCCCAGAGGCGGTAGAAAGCTTGTTCTAATGGGGGGAATAGCTGGATCATGTGAGTCCGGCCATCACATGCACTGGATGTAAGATGAGAGACGGCGTTCGGCCGCTAACGTTCAAGTCCTTAAATGTAGTTATTGGATGTGTTGCTTTTGGATTCATCACAGATTTCAAGCAGGCACTGGCGTTGCGGATCCTCGAAGGTCTAGTCAACGGAAATGTGGCGACAGTGAGGACGATGGTCTCCGAGGTTGTCGTGGAGAAACGGTCAGTCATTGCTCAGGTTGATTAGAATTCGCTAGCAATAGCTAACAATCCGGGAAGATTTCAGCCTCATGCTTTCTTGTTGCTTCCGATCTCTTTCAACGTTGCTGCCATGGCTAGTCCCCTCATGGCCGGGCAGCTGGCTGACCTAGCGGGGAAATACCCGGATAAGTTTGGGAATAATGCATTTCTGAAAGCGTGGCCGTATGCACCACCAGCTATCCTCAGCGGATCTATCATGCTGTTGGCCTTCTTCGCGGTCTTGCTTTTCCTAGAAGAAGTGAGCTCGTTGCTTTCCACTCGTAATTGTTGAATCAGGCTTACAGCTTCCGTTTCTACAGACTCTAGAGCCCCTGAAAGATAGATACGATCCTGGCGTCGCCTTCACCCGAAGAGTTCGATACCTTTTGTTTGGAACCAAGATCTCGACAGCAACCAGAGCAGGCCATGAGGATGCCACTGACGAAGAGATGTCACATATGATCACGGAATACTCTGATCCACCTGAAAGGGATTCCGAAGAGCAAAGATCACCAATGAAGGCAGTCAAGACAACTCCCATGATCTTACCGACTAGGCGCATGTTCACTAAAAATATGTGTCTCACGCTTGTTTCATACGCCATCCAGGAGTATCACATCACGACCTACAACACTCTGTGGACGAGTTTCCTCAGCGACCCGGTTGACAAAGAAGGCAAACTCAAGCTCCCTTTCTTCTTTTCCGGCGGAGCCGGGATGAAGCCAGACCAAATCATGTGGTCTCTCTTCATCGTCGGAATGATGGGATTACCCACGCAACTTTTCATCTATCCCCGCATCAGCCGTCGTCTCGGCACTTTGAAGATGTGGCGCAAGTTCATGCTTGGGATGCCGCTACTCTACTTCATCGTGCCTTACATCGCAGCTATGCCCTCGACTACACCACCACCAGCTGGTAAAACTGGGTTCGTCGTTTGGTTCCTCATCATTCTGGTTCAAATCATGATGGTGGGCACGTCCACATTTGTCGTACCAGCGCAACTTGTTCTGACCAATTTGTAAGCTGCTATTGATATCATTCTTGTTGTGAATGCTCACATTGGCTTACATCCTTTGGTCAGGTCTTCGCCGCATCCGTCTGCTTTAGCACGAACCCATAGCAGCGCATTCTTGTTGTCTGGTTTGATAAGGTCAGCGACTTCATCCATAGCGGGAATCGTGTATAGCTACGGGTCGGCCCATAACATCACAGGCCTGGTCTGGTGGATTGCAAGTGGTGTTGCAGTCTTAGGGTGTCTGAATAGTCGCATCGTAAATGAAGGAAACGGCCACGAAATCTGGCTGACTGGTGACACTGAGTAGGGCAGGATCTAGGGTTGCTTTAGCTTTCGGGTGATTGGCAGCAATGCCTCAATCAAATACATGCAACGTGTAGAAAGAACATAGCCTCGTTAAAGAACACCTCTTGTAGCTTTTGTCAGTAGAATAGCTCTCAATGCCATACAAGCTTGATAGCTTTCAATCTCTCCTTCGTTCAACGTCGTGTTAATCCCTAGCTTGTCAGTTCCATTGATGACACACCATTGACACACACTCTTTTTGTCATCGCAGTAGAACCAATGTAAAGCGAGACAAGAGTTTTGATTTCAGTGACCAGTCTGCTGTTGAAGCTACCTTGTCTAACGTAACCAAGAAAAACTCCAGCAAGTACCGCCGGTTTCCCGAGGGGACAATCTGTACCATTTACCACCACTTGTCTGTTCCATCGTCTCCATCATTCTTAAGTACCGAAGATCATATGAGTATTACTCCATGTCCTCGTCAGTAACGAAGGCACGCTTGTCCTCGGTAACAAAGCCTCTCTTGTGGGGCTCAGTGATGAAAGAGCGCTTCTCCTCAGTGACAAATCCACGCTTCTCAGGCTCGGTAACAAAGCCGCGCTTGTCTTCAGTCACGAAAGATCTCTTCTGAGGCTCCGTAACAAAGCTACGCTTGTCCTCGGTGACAAAGCCACGCTTCTCTGTAATGAAGGATCTCTTCTCAGGCTCAGTGACGAAGCCCCTCTTCTCTTCAGTGACGAAACCGCGCTTCTCGGGCTCCGTGACAAAGCTTCTCTTATCCTCAGTGACGAAGGCGCGCTTCTCGGGCTCGGTCACGAAGCTGCGCTTATCCTCGGTGACGAAGCCGCGCTTCTCGGGTTCGGTCACGAAGCTGCGCTTGTCCTCAGTGACAAAAGACCTCTTCTCTGGCTCCGTCACGAAGCCACGCTTGTTCATATCGGGCTCGGTGACGAAACCTCTCTTCTCCATTTCATCTTCGGTGACGAAACCACGCTTCTCCTCAGTGACAAATCCTCGCTTGTCCTCTGTAACAAAGGAGCGTCTCTCTGGCTCAGTCACAAACTCGCGTTTGTCTTCGGTGACAAACGCGCGAGGATCTTTGCTCGTCAGTTAGACCACTTAATTGTCTACGGAATCTTAAGAAGTGCTCCAAACACGTACCAAGCTCGTCAGTGACGAAAGCCCGTTTCTCCTCTCTCTGGATGGCCGGTGCCGCAAGAGCAGTGGCTGCAAGGATCGCAACGGAAGTAAGGGCGGTGAATCTCATTGTGAGTCGTTGGATAATGATAACAGATATAGTTGGTGAATTGTAGTTGTCTGATTTGTTAGATGCTCGAACACCAACGTAGATAGCGTGGGATGTAACTTGGTCATATATGGCGTTCCTACTCCCTTTTACAGCTTGTCTTCCGACACCCTCGTGGCAGACGAGCAGACCTAGTCACGTTATCTGCGGTAGTCGATTACCTCAAGGTTTGTTGGAATATCTCCATTTGCACATACTAGCTTATAGAATAATGATTAATGTTCCGGCTCGAGCCGTATATCCGCGGAACCGTGTATCACCAAGAGCATAGCTAGCAACAATGACTCAATTTGGAAAGGTTTCCTAGTGGATTCGCGTTACTTTCTTGGTCCGATGACCCTAAAGAGGATCCCCGCCGCGTTTGAGTCCCCTTATGCAGCTCTGACAAGGCCAAGTTGATAGTTTGGGCACGCACACAAAAGGCTTCCAACCTTGAGCTTGCTGGGTGGGATGACGGAAGCTTAAACGGCGGAAAGTGGGATACTTTCTAGAACAGGTAGTTGCCCTGCTTTGTTTTTACTAAAAAACCCTGATCCTTATTATGAACCTAGTTGTAAGGTGAAATTCTGACGACACTATCGCTCTCGGTTATCGACAATAGTGTGTAGCTTACTTTGTCTGCCCAATGATGGATCAGTTCCCGGTAGTCTAGACTGTGATTTTCACAATGTTCAGGGTATTGTACTTTGACTTGAAACGAACTTCGTTACCCACGTATGAGGATCAGAGGACTTTACGTTAATCGTTACGATATGTGGGATCTATGGTAGGAATGGTAACTATACTATTGCATGGCGAGCCCGAGAACGAAGCCATTGGCTGATCAGTCTGCTGCAACATTTGCCCCCAGTGACGAAACTGGTCTATTCCCTTGGCTTGTGATCAAATTCCTTGTTCGCCCCGTGAATATGAGAATGCCCATGCACTTCAGCCAGCTGTCCATCGCTACCAAGCCCCTTTTTCACACCAGGCTTCAAATCGAATTGGTGAACGGATATGTCGCTAGGCGGTCGACAAGAAGTAAAGCGAGGCCAGTAAGGGATACTCACGTGGTCCTTGGGCCTCGCATAGTCGTGCATCAACGCATGGTCTAGGCACTGGTGGTAGTCGATGGTACCAGAGACCAATCCGTGCGCGATCTTGACCTCTTTCTTCCACAGAAACGCACAAGAGTAGAGATGGAACTCCCATGTCGTCCACGCCTGTCCTGGTTTGATCTTCTCCACGTCAGACCAGGATAACTCGGTGGTTGAATTCCGAGACGTGAAGAACTTCCATGGGCGAGTCTGGCGGAACTCGGCATCTAGAGCCGAGTCAAAACATTGCGGAGGTTGCCATGTCGCCGTGTATGACTCAAACTTGCACCCACGTGACAATGCAGTGGGAGTGTCTCTGCCGCAAGGGAATTTGTCCTTGAGCAGGCCGGTGATGAGCCCGAGGTTGGTATCAGAGTGGCCGTGATTCCCGTGATCAGTTCCGTAAAATGGAGAGAAGGGAACCAGAAGAGTGAAAAGGGTGCATATCGATGAGCCTAGAAGAAAGAAAAGAAGTCGTAGACAAGGTGAAAGGCTATTGTCCATATTCTTCTCGAATCTTGTGACCTTTTCGCGGTGGTTTGCCATGATTGCACGGTGACAGCGGTGGTGACTGGAAGTACGTGATAGGCAGTCTTGTTGAGAGGGCGATAGATAACATATGTCGGCACTACATGACATTTGTTTCTGCCTAGGCCAACCATGCTGGGATGATATCTTCCGCGTCATCATCTCCGATTCAGCTTGTAGCTAGGATATGACGGTCGCTTATAGTAAGAGCTGGGCGATCAAGAAGAAAGTCTCCGTGTCGTCTGCCCAGCTCCTCCTTCAAGTCGATTAACTTCCGAAACTGACGTCCATATATCGTTAGTGCAGTCATAGTACCGTTTACAGTAGGTGGTTCCACCTGCTTTCTCGAGAGGATCCCGGTAAGAAGGGACAAGCTCTTCGTTTACGTTCTTTGCTCGGTTAGTCCTGTGGATGTTCTCGACTTTGTGTTTAAGCTTTGAACTGTGACACACTTCATAAGGGTCCTAGCGGGAGCTTGGAGAATTTCTCGGGTTCCGCACTCATGCTTTACAACTGAACCTTGAGTACCTTGTCTTGTTAGTGCATTTTGTCGGATAGTTGTCGTAAAAATCCGAGGCAGAACTCTCACTCAAGCAAGTTCGCCTCACATATTCTGTAGCCACCTGGGCAGGTTGTAGTCCTACTCAAACGTGGAATAGAGAATGCCACGGTCTTGTCGTACAACGAATACATGTAAAGCAACTTTTTTTTACACTACCCTACTGTTTTTACGCAACTTTTCTGCCTATTTCAGTAGCAAATAATGTCAACTACCACAGAGCATAGCAACGAAGCGGAAGAGAGGCTCTTATCCTCTCAGTCCAGCAGCTATGACGACGACATACTGGAGGAAATTGCGTCGAAGCAGGTGTTAAATCATTATCCAAGACGATTCCCTTGGAGGAAGATCTTTCAAGGCATTGGCTACTCCACATCCGGAGCTATCTTGGTCTTTTCATTTGCTTTGGCAGCATACTTCCTAGACTCACCCACGAAAATGTCTACTATCGTCCCAGAATGGAGTGTCGTTGACGGTGGACAGACCTTTCGCGCCTGGGAGCCGTCCTCAGCGTGCGGGCATACGCCCAACGAAGCCCGCGCAGCAGGTTGCATCTACGATGACGTTCTGCTCCACTGGATGCCGACACAATGCTCTTCTCCCGAACTCATTGACGAATTTGAGCACGTATGGCCGTGGGAGTTCTTTGAGGACCAAAATGCGACAAAGGCCATCACTCTACCCCAAGTTATGAAGGGCACGCAAGACATAAAATGGGTGTCTATGGATCTTCATCGTTGGCATTGTGTTGCAACATGGAAAATTCTCAGCAGCGCCGCACGATGGAAAACGACAGTTCCGGCTTATGCTATCAACTGGAATCACTCAACACACTGTGCCGATCATGTGTTGTTAAATATGCACGCCGAAGACCCGTTCGCTATCAACTCACATCTCGACATTGAGTACACACCATGTGTGACTCTGGCAGAGGACAGATCACTAGGAAGGGCAAGAGAGTGGTGAGGATTTCGTGACACAGGCATCTCTATTACTAAGTCAAGGTTATGGTCACTCTAAGGCCGCAAATTTGTAGTGTGAATTTGATCAAGCCAGATATTAATCACGAAAGAAACATGTTCAATCCAGAAAATGGATTCATAATCCATATTGATGTCTTTATGACTCAGAATAAGAGTTTAAACCTGTAATCCGCCACCAACAATAGCAAAACGATTCTTAGTAGCTAGATAAGACATATTCTTGAATAGAAACCATCGCCCTTCTACTCCCTGGTGATCGGTCTGTGAACCAAGGTAATTACGTGTGTCATGGAGTGATTTAGAATGTGACAGCAAACCTTTCTCTAGCTGCCTGGCCATATTTTTGAAGTAGCCACGGAACCGGACAGAGCAAAAGTGAGACAAATCCTAAAAGACTACTTCCCCAGCCGAGCCCTAGCCGATTGAACAATGACTCCCCTGCGAGTGGCAGAAATGCACCAACGATGCAGCGGAAGATGGTAGATGCCGCTATCGCAGAAGCAGCGTACTTCGTAAACGCGTCGATGAGGTATGTGTGCAACGGCATCTGGGCGCTCGATTAGTACCTGGAATGTATGAAGATGTTAGAGCACCCACCATGATAAGGATTAGTCCGGCTCCGAGAAGGGCTGAGCCAATGATTGGGAGTATCCAGTGCAAGTGATACTGCGCGGTCCAGCCGTAGAAGAATAGTCCCAAGGGTGTAAGCAAGATCGACCTGGCCATGATAGGCAGTCGAAACTCAGGCTCACGATGTCCATCGTTGCGTGCAGTTCGTCGATTGGCCATGCGGTCGTTGAAGATCGCATTGCAAATTGCTCCCACGCTGAAACCTACGCCCAGGCCAAGGTAGACTAAACCGACTGTGCCCAACGAAAAGCCGTACTCCGAGGTGAAGACCGGCGTGAATGTCGTCAATAGTATGTACTGCTTGCTATCAGCCTCACGCCACATTGTGTAGAAACCTCGTGGGGCTTACCATATACCCGTATGCTAAAGCAAGTATTATTGAGAGAACAAGCACAATTGGGCTCAAGAAAAACATCTTGACTGGCCGAACCAGTGCATTGAGAAGGAGCGTACTTGGACTCAACGCCGACTTTTCACCCGGCGTTACGAAAGTGCTTTCGGGATGAGCTCTCCGTAAAGCCACTGCACGCTGATGCAGCAGTCTTGGAGGATATGTCTCCCGCAGACAGAGGAAGCAAATCAACGTGAAGGCACCGGACTGTGGCTCTTGATCAGCAATGGGAATCAGACCACGGTACCCGACAAGCACTCACAGGGATTGCAGTGACCCAAAAAATCCATCGCCAGCCTAGATCCTGTGAAATATAGCCGGCCGCGACCGGTCCCAGTGCTGGTCCAAGGATGGGACCAACGAAGTAGACGCTCACCACCAAGCCTCGTCGCTCGGGTCGGATGAGGTCAGCTATAGTGCCACCGCCGATAGCTAGGGGGGCTGCACCCGAGGCGCCAGAGAGGAAACGGAAGATAATGATGGCCGGCAGGTTCGGTGATACAGCGCTCAAAATGCTAAACAGAGTGAAGAGGATGTTTGAGCTGTGGTAAATGGGCAGTCTCCCATACAGCTCGGATAAAGGAGCAAAGAAGCTGACGAGCATAAGTTGATTATTACTGGAGGCTTCATTACCTTGAGGCGAACAGAACTTACATTGGACCAATTGCATATCCTAAGACAAAAATAGAGACGATGAAGGATGAGAGGACTTTGCTCTCGCTATGGAATTCCGCCATCATGTCTGGGACTCCAGGTGCACACATGGCGGAGGCGATGGACCTATAGAGCCACATCATTCGTAGTCAGTCAGCTATTCCAGCTTCGCTCTCGTGTCGTATTGGGACGCAGGATGACTTACGCAATGAAAGTTAAGGCGCTGACAAGTCCAACGTTGATGCACTTTCGAGTAGTTGACCAGTTCAGGGGCTTACTCTCGTCGTCTTCCCCATTCCAGTCCACAACGATGTCACCATCCTCATCCTGCCGCTCGGCGCCAATCTCAACCTGCTTCTCAGTAGCCATACTAGAAATTTGCGATATTGCCAGCAATTGTTCTCAGCGTCAACTGAGCGCACGCATAGGTACGAATTCTTGGCCAGTCGAGTATAGGGAAAAGTTCCATAGCTACATACTTACTCAGAATTCAACTTGGAGATCCCGCGTATTGTCAACTAACTTGGGGTACCATGTAGGTTCGAACTATCGAGAACCCTGAAGCCTTATCCCAAGTGCAGCATCGTCGGGGAACAGCAAAAGTACCCCGAAACTTTCCTTCTCACCCGAAGTTGCGACGAAGCCCCCCACATCTTGACTCGCGATACTTCAGCTCATCTTAGAAGTCCTTTTCCCGTCTTGCTTCATCTCGACCAACAGACGTAAGATGGGTACGAGCCAGCGGCAAGGGTCGTGCCGCCACCCAGATAGAGTTGCCTTTTTTCCGCTGCCACAAGTCTACTGTGTAAGTCTTGTAAAGACGTGCTTACGCGCCCCATTTGGAGTAGACTTTGAGTGTTCTCGGGGCAGCCTGCAGGAAAGTATCCCCTCAGAGGTTCAGTTAGGCAAAAGAAGACTCGTTACCAAACTTCTAAACAGAAACATCTGTACCGAATGATAAACAAACCACGTGGATAATTTCTGCCTACAAGTTGCCAGTTAGCCGTATAGTCGAGTGCCTACCATTCCAGCCTCGCTTTAGGTTACAGGTAGCCTCGAAACCTCATTGCGGACGTTTCACCGGGGATCCGCCTCGATTTTAGCTATGCTATCTAGCAGATATGGAAATCTAGTTCCGAGGATTCGGTTTGATCACCTATGTGTCTATACAATATCGCAAGGACGAAGCAATAGTATCCGCGGTTAGGTCGGCTATCAAGTGGCGTGATCTGATCTCATCAGATTTGGTGTACCATACATGAAGAGGAAGATTCGCCATGTGCAACTGAAACCGAAGTTACGGGCACTGTACCAACAACTACAACCACGAGCTACCCTATTCGGCCACCGTCGCCAGGAAAACTCTCTGCAGGCCGGAATCCCTCAATTTCCCTTTAGTCCAATCAATATGATCGAACCCAGATGCCTTGAAAGCATCCCGCCATACCGTCTCGTCAGCCGTCGCATGCTTTCTCCCGTCGCTGAACAACCACCATCCCTCAAACAGCCCAAACACAAAGTCAGCCCAGCACAAACGCTCCTGCACCTCCATCACCAGTGCAAACCCGCCAGGTCGTAAGAATTGGCGCGTATTGGTAAGTGACTTTACCATGTCGGGGGTGGCGTGAACTGCGTTTACAGCAATGACTATGTCCTGGGTGTGCGCGAGATCTGCAGGTGGTGGCTTCTCGATGTCCTGTGTTCGATAGTTCATAAAGGGGTAGTCTTGGAACTTCCGCGCAGCCTGAGCAATGAAGCCGTGTGCCAGATCGGTGAAGGTGTACTCGACAGGGACTCCCGATTTAGCGAGCAACGGGGCAAGCCATTTGGCTGTGCCCCCTGTTCCAGCGCCAAGCTCCAGGATCTTGAGTTGAGAACCGTGAGGGATGGTGACGGTCTTTGTGAAGCGGGTCATGAAGTCTTCCATGAGCTTGTGAAAGGCCTTGCTCGGATGCGCTGCGCCATAGATATCTTCCAGATACTCGCGCCCTTCTGGGGACCCGAAAATCGATCGGACGCCATCGGTACGTCCCACATAAATTTCGGCGAGGTTGTTACCCGCGTGAGCCACAAGCTTGTTCAGAGATGTGTATGTCGGAAAGTCGTTGAGAATATGTTGAAGAGCATCTTTGGGATTTCCAGGTGGTGTGGGTGTGTCTGTCCTGATGAACGAATCTCCTTCTTGGCGCACAAGTCCTGCATCTGAAAGCATTTCATAGCAGAAGTCGAGCTGTTTCCGTAGGTTGGCGGCGCATTTGATCGGTCTCAGCTTCTGGCCCGGTTTTGTACGCGCAATATCGCATCGCAATTTTTGGAACGATTTCATGATCAGCTGAACGATGAGCAATTTCTGTCGTGAGTGGACGTTTTCATAGTAGCCCGCAAATCCACAATCGGTGACAATCCTGTCCGTACTGTCTCTCGTTTCGTTGAAGGCTTCCACGGCCGCCATTCTGCCATCTGATGCTGGTTGACTCTGAATTATGACTACGTCTTTGATGCGGCAGATTATACTATGGCGTCCTCGATGTCACAACTGGGGCAACTACACGTAGTACATGAGTACTTCAACCATAAGCCCGACAATTCTACAGTACCGGAGTTGTCAATCCGTCGCTCATGTGGAGAGGGGGGGACCATCGGTCCGGCGCGGAGGTCACTTAATCGCGCGGAACCCCTTCTATGTGCCTCGGACAGCGATGACCGAGTCGCAATTTCATCACTAACCCAACTCATTAATGAAATACATTTCGCGCAATCTCCATTAGTACGGTTCTGTTTCAATATCTTGGGAATCTCATAAATGTCCAATGTAAGGAGTAACATAGTGACGGATTTTGATCAAGTATGGCGATAATGAGTTAGTACAATTGTAGCTAATCCGTGCATCGTAGTTTTCTGGTATCAACCCTCCCACGTCGACTTCTATTATGAGGATTATTCCCGCTAATTTCCTTCATTCAATGAAATACCTTACGAGATCAAGAGGATGTTTGTTTGATTCATTTGAACATGAACACTATTGATACTGAAATGTAAGCTTTCAACTCTGTTGTTGACGCCTTCATCTAAACGGAGGGGGACAAAGCCACGGCCTGTTGCACTATGATTCTGTGTCGAGGCCTGGATTAGGCTCACCATCAAGATGCGAGTCGCTCGGGGCTGCTGTCTTGAATCTCCCATACATTTCAGGCTCGCTACTTCATTTCGGATTATTTGAGCCTTGCCCTACTCCTTAGAGACTCCCGAATCCGGAGCAACACTGATATGTGAGTGGCTTCATCGTTGCCGAGTTGACGGACCGCACGGGGTCGGATTTTGGCAGGCCTGTGCCAGGACTCAGTGAAAGTTACTTCAGGTGGTTCAATGCGCGAGTCATCCATCGCCGCTCTGTTCGACCACTAACTCTCGCGCAGCTCATGCCTCAGAGACCTGTTGAACCCAGTGCGAACAATGAAGGCCACCAAAATGTCCAGACTTGGGATACTCCGTGTCGGAAACTTGCCTTCTAAGATCGATGCATCTTTCTCATGATATTACATGATTGGCCATAACGAAGTCTGAAATTGAAGCTACGTGTATCTACTTTATGAAGCAATCGTGTAAACGAGCTTCGCAGCACTCACGTTCCCTTGCTTCAGGTACTGTATGCCATGAAGAACACCTTCCAAGCCATCGCCGCCTTCATTTACAATTTGCCTGGCAGGCCGAAACTTGTCCTCCTGCAGTAGCTTCTCACTCACATCCCAGAACATCTTCCCAAACTCGTAGTCGTCAAGTCTAGGTTCAATGACCGTCTCCTTCTCTATCGTCTCTCCTAGAATCGTGTAACCCAAGGTTGTAGAGCACTCGATCTTTGGATTGATCTTCTTGACAATGGAGGGAACCAAGTACAAGAGGCTGCTGTAGTGCCCGCCTCTTATCGACATCGCTGCGGCGCATATCCGTGCAGACTGGGCTGTCGCAATGCAATCCCAAGCGTGCCTCAACCTTCCCTTTGTGAAAGCCTTGACTTGCTCTGAACAGTCCTCTGCTTTGTAGTCAACGCAGAAATCAGCTCCCAAGGCTTTCATGTAGTCGAAGTTCTTGGGCGAACAGGTTACGATGACCGTGCAGTTGGACATTTTGGCGAACTGAATGCCCATGATTCCTGACGCCGTGCTTCCGCCGTAAATCAGAAGGGGAATCGGCTCTGGTGACGGCTTAGTGGGGAGTGGAAGTGCCAGAGACTGGTAGAGTCCTTGACCCTAGATCTGATTTTTAGCGATGATCTTAGGAGCAAGTGTGAATAGAGCACCAACCACCGCTACTAGGCCAGACGTGATTGCCGCCGCCTCAGTGTCATCGACATGGTCAGGTATCTTCATCTGTAGGCTCGCCTTTGCGATGAGATACTCTGCAAAGGCCCCATCTTCCTTCTGTCTCACATTTCTGTGCAGATATGATTAGAGTCATTCTGTAATCTGGAGAGATCGTGTCACTTACGAGCCATTCACAATCCCGAAGACTCTGTCGCCAACTTTGAAGTGCTTATCCACTCCATTGCCGACCTCGAGAACAACGCCTGAGTACTCAAGACCTGGTCGCGTACTAGTGGGGTTACCCACCCACATGAAGTCAATGTGCTTCCAGTCAGAAGGATTGATAGCGACGGCAGTCGTTTTCACGAGGATATATCCATCACGTAACTTAGGAATGGGCGATGTGGCTATTGCCGCTTTACCGCGACCTTCAATGATGACAGCCTTCATAGTGTTGGGGAGAGTAGAAGCCATAATTGTATAAGAACCAAGCTGATGAGTGATGCCAATCGCCAGCCCTAGCAGTGCTGTAGTAGAGCTGTAAACGGAATATCTCTCAAGTCGTTCAGTAGAAATTCTTTATTGACGCGACCGTCACATGACACCACGTGTACTCCTGATGTGAAATTGATTTCGTCCATCCAAGTTACTTGCCTGGTCCATTGGCTGGTGTCTTTCGGAGTGTTGAACTTCATGTTGTGACACATCTCGGACCGCAAGCTGTGCAGGGACCGGGTCATCATGAGGTGTTCGCAAGTCGATCCTCGCAGCCAATCACATTAGACGGAAAAAATATGGCTCTCGGAATTCGAGCAATAGACTTTCGCAAAACTCGGACTCACCTATTCTGCCAACATAGGGGATGTCTTCTGGAATACCGAGATCAACTCCATTGCAACATTGTTCATCTCTTGTTAAGAAGCTCTACATTAGTGTCGAAGTAATCTTGTTGGCCTTTTGACCCGAACCATAATACACAGCCAAAACTACACGATATCCTTTGCTAGGCTGGCATTTGACTCTCACTCAGCAGGCGTTTGCGGGCTTTTACCATCTTTTATACCACGCTTTAGACAATGTCGTCAAAGTCGGGTGCCGCCACGCCTTCATCCGAGATAGGCACCTCCGACCCCATCGCCATCGTGGGAATGGCCGTGAGGCTTCCCGGTGGCGTGAAGAACACGGAAGACTTCTGGAACCTGATGATGAATAAGCAAAGCGGTCTGATCCCCATCCCTAAAGAGAGATGGAATAGCGAAGGCTTCTACAGTCCCGTTGCAAAGTGGGGAACGGTTCAGAACAAGGAGGCATACATGTTCACCCAAGCCGATAATGACCTTACCAAATTTGACGCCTCTTACTTCACATGTGGTGAGAAGGAAATCGAGCGCATGGACCCCATGCAAAGGCAATTGCTGGAGATTGCGCGAGAATGTCTTGACAATGCCGGCGAGGTCAATTGGCGCGGCCAAGAGATCGGCTGTTATGTTGGCAACTTCTCGTCAGATTGGCAAGATGACTTGTCAATGGACCCGCACGCTTCTGGACTATACCGAGGATCTGGCTACCTCGACTTCTTACAGCCTAACCGTGTATCATATGAGTATGGCTGGACTGGCCCGAGGTACGTAGCGCACCCTGTGTGAGTGACGATTCGCAGTGACTAACATCCTTCAAGTATGCTTGTCAAAACTGGATGCTCTTCATCCATGGTTGCTTTACACCTGGCTGCTGAAGCTGTTCAAAATGGTACATGCAAGTCGGCAATGGCTCTGGGATGCAACCTCATCACATCAGTCATCACATCCATTGTCTTCACAGAAACCGGTGTCTTGTCTCCAAGCGGCAAATGTAAAACCTTTGATCTGCTTGCCGATGGTTACGGTCGCGGTGAAGCTGTCAACGCTGTCTATGTCAAGAGATTAAGCGATGCTCTCAGAGACGGTAACCCAGTCAGAGCCATTCTTCGAGCAAGCGGCACCAACAACGATGGTCGGTCTAACGGCATCATGAGCCCAAACACTTACTTGCAGGAGGCCTTGATTCGAAAGACCTACGAGAAGGCTGGTCTTCTGTTCAATAAGACGGCCTTCTTCGAGTGCCATGGCACTGGTACTCCGACTGGCGATCCACTTGAGGTGGCGGCAGTTGCTCGAATCTGGAAGGATCATGATGGCGTGATGATTGGCGCTGTAAGTTCATCATGTTTTCAATGCAAGGTTGAGGTTTTCTAACATGAGTACTCAGGTTAAACCTAATGTCGGTCACTCAGAAGGTGCGGCAGGCCTGACAAGTGTCATTAAGGCAGTCCTCGCATTGGAAAATCGAGTTATTCCGCCGAACATCTACATGGAAAACCCCAACCCAAGGAGTGAGTCCATCGTAAGTAACCTGATTGTCAGATACTAACATCAGCACAGTTCCATGGGATGAGGCCAAGCTTTCGGTCCCTACGGAGCCAACTTTCTGGCCTGCAGACAGAGATGAGCGCATCAGTGTCAATTCCTTTGGTGTGGCTGGCTCCAATGCTCATGTAAGATCTCTGCCCTTATCCTGACGAAAGCTCCCCGCTAACAATTTGAAGGTCATTCTTGAGTCTTATGATGGTTGGCAAAAGCTGCAAGATGATGCTAGCTCTATCAGCTCAGACTCAGGCGTCAGCGTTCGCTCTCCTGGCCAGCGACTCTTGTTGTTCTCCGCTTCGCACTTGACTTCTCTCGAAAAGCAAGTGGACCAACACAAGCAGTACATTGAGACTAAGAGCGCTGATCTTGATGATCTTGCTTACACTCTGGGTCATCATCGCGATCACCTCAGCTGCAGAGCCTATGCTATTGCTAACGAGGAGGGTGTCTTTGACCTGAGCAGCTTCAAGCGCAAGCCAACCACCTCCCGGCGACTCATTCTGACCTTTACTGGACAGGGTGTGCACTGGGCCGGGATGGGCAAGTCACTGATCGAAACCAACGAGGTGTTCCGAGACTCCATCAAGAAGCTGGACGTATGGCTCCAGTCGCTTCCCGAAGAACACAGGCCAACCTGGTCCTTGGAGAAGGAGCTGTCTATCGACGATGACTCTAGCAGGGTTGGCCAGCGGGGATACTCTCACCCATGCGCAACTGCTGTTCAGATCGCGTTGGTTGATGTTCTC